GAGTAGCTAACGGAGAGAGCCCAGTATATTGGGGGAGTGTTCGAACTTACTAATACGAATTCAGGCTCACATATCATAGAAAACATGTTGAGATACGTGTATCGACATGCATATTAGCATGTCGAAATATGTTGATATAGACGAAAATGCGGCAGAACTGCGTTACACACGCTTCCGATATTAACCTTCCCTCCTCGTTTCGAAGTAGAACGCAAATGCGACTGTGACACGTCGGCCCTCATATCGTTAGGTATGCCTTACATTGCAGTAACCAGCCTCACCCGTGCAGATACGACTTTATATTTGCGTACTTCTGCTTCCAGACGAAAATCATAAGGTAGACGAAGACAAACGGGTAAATATTCAAAATATTTATTAAAAATAGTGAATCTAAAAATGTACATGTTATCCATTGAAATTCACGCGTCAGTGGTGGGACGTGGAGTAGACGTTGATGGTCAGGGATCTTCACCTATAAGCAAAGTATTTGGAATACATGTCGAAGGTTTACTGCTAGGATAGTCTATAAACTGACTTCTGATCAACCCCTTCCCAATTGCGTCTAAAGAGCGCTTAAACCATCGCGTAAATACCGTCTTAAATTGAAAGAGGTCAAAAGATACGTAATTTTTCCAATTCATATATTTATCTGAGATGGAAAGGTTTACTCAGATTTTCAAAAAAGTACGCACTTATACTGCTCACTGAATTGGTATTGCCTAGGACGGGCCGCCGACTAGGCTTATGAAGGAACCTATTGCTTTGTGATACCACCTCCTCAAACATGCGGAGGTCAGCTTCACTCAGTCGTCTACCTGTCTGCTGCAAAGACCGCAAAGGCTTCGTAAGAATTTCCCGCAGTCACCCTAAGTAACTTTTAAACGTAAACGGAGAGGAATTGTCTAGAAGTCCACGACGTTCTGTATCGATCGCAATGTGCGTCATACTGTACACATTGTATACCAAATGCTCTGGCCCATATAGCACTCGAGCCTACAAGCGAAAAATTTTACAAGCTCTCTGGCATAGGCTGTATTACAAGGGGCAGAAATGACTTGTAGCGCCCCGCTATATAACTATCCCCCGCCCAAATTGCGTTCAAACAGTGAATTTTTAGCTAGTGAGCGTAAATGATCAAAAATATAAAATTAAATAAGAATATGTCTGTTTTCATATGCTTCAATTGAATAAAATCCCATGAGCATGAACTCTTGTTGTGTATTATGCGGAGGCCAGTTGAGGTTAATTCGACCTTATGTGGCAGAATTTTACGAAAATA